AACTACCATACAGTCCAGCCCCAGTGTGGCACGACATCCACAGGCAAAGATTTCTTCCCCACCTATGGATCCGCAAATCTGGAACCCCAGGGCTAACGAATGAACGCATGAACAAATATTGAGCACCTACCGTGAGCATCCTTCCCCAAGAGTGAAAAAGACCACCCACCATGGAGCATCCTGGGGCCTTGGGCATTCCATCCTTGGTTCCTACACCATCAAAACGCGAAGAAACCATCCCCACCTTAGAGGGTGATTTGAAGGAGTAGATGAGAGATTACTGTTTCCACCACAGCAGAAAATTCGAAGTCACTAGGGAGAACTAGATTCCTACCAGCACAAGACTCAGAGGCTCACGGAATCAAAAGCAGAGACGGGGACGTCACTCATTCACCCCTCCTTAGTGTTTCCAGGAGGAAACTGGAGTTGCCAAGTAGAGCAAGTCACCCTCAGGGACTGAGCCCTCTGCTAGAGTGCTCCACGCAGTTTCACAGCTCACCAACAGTCAGGGACAAGACTCAGCCCCATGTGATGAAGGGGGAAATCGAGGCTCAAAGAAGAAACAGATTTGCCTGGGGCCACAGAGGTGGAGCAAGGGAGAAACCAGATATTCTAAACTTTCCCCTGCACATCCTCCCCCAAACCTCCCAAGGGGGCCGCGACACGCTCCACACACATATTCTAAGAGGCAAACAGCACAGTGATAAGGAGGGAGGTCAGTTCACACAGGGCTGAGATGTGGCTCCGCTACTCACCCGCCGTGTGACCTCTGACAAAGCGCTTGCCCTCCTGCGTCTCACTTTCCTCGTGGGGTAAATGGCCATAGTAACAGTGACCGCCCGCCTCTTGAGTTGTTATGAGAAAGAAATGGGCCAACCTGTGCAAACTACTTAAATGATGCCTCCTCCAACAACTGCTCAACGAACATTAGCCACCATCATCATCACTTATTATTCTTTTCCATTCCGTTATTTTCACAAAGACAAAGACTAATGTCCTCACAGCCTCTCCCCTGGGAGGCGGATGCCACACGATGGTAAGGACAGGAGCCTGGGGCTCACATAGACTTGCACAAGGACTCAGGAAGCTATTCTTCCAAGCCGCTTCGCATTAAGCAGGGGAGCAGCCTCCTCCTGCTGGAACAAGCCCTCTGCTCTGGGAACTAGGAACCCCTGCCTGCCTTCACTTTTAAGATCCATCTCTTACCACTTAGCAGCAGAGCCCCCTTCAGTCTCCGTGCTGACTCCACCTTCCTGCCACAACTCGGATGCTCCAGCCTGGGCAGCGAGTGAGGAGGGGAGAAGAAGAGTGAGTCTGTCTGGACAAGCGGGGGGGGGGGGATCAGTGGGAGTTCAGGGTAGGGAGCAGCAGCCGGCTGGCAGCGTCTAAAGAGGTGGTGTCCGCAGGGCTCTGCGCGGACCGAGCATTGCTCAATAGAGCCTACAGGGCAATTACCCTAATCATGTGCATCTCCCAAACAGCCGCTTGATTTATTAGCACGACGTCTTTTTAAAATGCCGCTCTTAAATATAAATAACACTTAATCATCCAGCTGTCGTTAAATTCATGTTATATTGATTTCTTGGAGTGCCACAAATTTGAGGGCGAATGGGCTGGCGGATGTGCGCACAAAGCCAAGAGGTGGATTAGCAAGTGGGGGGGTGGGTCAGGGAGGGAGAAGAAGGAGGGTGGGGAAGGAGGAAAGGGGTGTCAAAGGAGAGAAATGAGCCCTGTTCAACCACCCCCAGGGTCTGAACCCGTCTCACATCCGGTAGCACTGGACACCAATAAGAAGACAGAGGAGCCTAAAAATGAATGGCACATCTGTTGCACAGACTAATCACAGCTGGACCACAGTCCGGTGTTCTGTATGGCTGCCGCCCTCCCACAGCCCATCACAGAGCCGCTCCAACAGGTCTCCGAGGTGGCATTGTCTGTGTAGTGCCTTCTCCCAGTGAGGATGGGGAGAAGCCGCTAAGAAATGCCCCCTAGCTGGCTAGAAGGAGAGAGATTGGCTGCGATTTCTTTGCATCAAAGCCTGGTGATAACTAGGAGCTAAGAGCAGCTAATCACCCCGCCCCCTCAGCTCTCTCCACATCGGGACCGCTGCCTCCCTAGAAAGCAACCCCCGCCCCCATTTAATTCCATGCAGCCCTCATTGTGATTAAAAGGATCAGGAGGCCAAGTGCAGGCAGGCTCTGCCATGCAGATCTCCCTGTCTGCAGGGAGCACGTGCAGCAGACACGGAGAGGTGCAGAGAAAGAGAAAGGAAATAAGTTGGCAGCCTCAGAGTCCTCCGGAAATGTCTGCAGAGCGTCGGTGGGCATCCAGGATGAAGTCCTGGAAGGACAGAGGCAAGCCTGCCTGAGAGCGAGTACCGGATTGGGCAAGAGGGAACAGCTCCTGGGCAACCAACCCAAGCCTCGTGCTCACAGCAGAGCCTCCTAGAGCACAGCCTAGCAGCAGCAAGGGTCTGCGGAAAAGAAGCATTCACAGTTGGGGTTTTTCGAATGCAACTCCCTTCCGAGTGAGGAAGCCGCCAGAGAACTTAAAAGCAAGGCCACAGAGAATGGTAGAGAGGGAGAGTGACAATGTGACATGCTCCAGGGCTGGGCAAGAGAGTAGGAAAAAAATTAGATGATGTACACCCAGCTTTACACAGATGTTAATTAATGCTTGCTTTGTCCTAGAAACCAAACTGGTACCCACTGCTAAGTGTGGAAAATGTGGGGATTTTTTTGAACCCATGCTTAAAAATGTTTAAATTATAACCAGCATAATGACTGCTGGCTTTCCATTAAAATGACGGATCCTGAAGCTGTAAATACAGGAGAAAGGAGAAGAGGTCTACGTGGAAGATGCATGGACATTTCAGGATGCTCTGTACCCCATCCTTTTGCTCCTTCAAGGTCCCATGAGGAATGTTTACCTGGGAGCCACCCCCTGTTGCTGGAGTTCACTATTTCTGTGGAAAACCATGTGCTGCTCTACGCAGATGTGGGACCTCCCTGTTCACATTCAAAGGACAAGTGTGGAAATGTTCCAGTTCTTCCACAGCCCTGAAGACAGAGGTGGGTCTCGTTGTCACACATGGTTGGATGAGTGGACCGTGTACAGCTAGGCTCTTTGAGAACGTGTGTATATATCTGTGTGTGTGTGTGTACACACACCCGCCATTCTTAAAAAGAAAATGATGTTTCTTCCCCCTACCGGGTTCTCCCCATTGTGAGAGCTCTGCTTTATTCCATCTACCCTTTTCAATCAATCAAAGGGCAGCACACACAACACACAGCGGGAATACAATCTCCCTCCTGGGGCGTCTGCGCCTCTCCTCCCCAGCCTAGCTGGAGACCTTTGCAGGAGCTGGAAAAAGTTTGAAAATAGCAAAGATGGGGGTGCCGAGAGAGCCCTTTCTTTCAGCACCCAACTTCAGGATTTACAGAATCAACCAAATCCTGTGCCCAGCACGGAGGCCCCCTTGCTCGAAAGAATGTCCGCTCCTTTCCCCTAATGTCCTGGAAGACTCCCAACATACTTTCCCCACTGGTGGGTTTGCGGGACCCTGTGAACACATGATCTTACATAGAGGGTACAGCTTATTCCATTTCTCACCAGGTTGCCCAAGCTACTCCAAAAGGGACAGCTATAGGAACACAGGACCTTGCTATATTTATATTTGACTCGAAAATACTGTTTTATTTGGATCTCATCCTCTTCTCCTTACAACAACTGAGTCTTGAATGAGTTGCTCTTTGACCTCCAAATGGGAAGCGTGAAAAAGGGCTGTTGGAGCCCAAACCACCTCCTACCTCCTCCAGAAAAAGTTTGAAAATGAGCCGCCTGTGAACTCCAGCCAAGGAGAAAAGGAAAGGAACAGCTTTAGGGGACCAGAACCTGGTGCCACAGGCTTCTGGAGAGTGGTCTACACTGGGGAGCAGCCTGGCTCTGGGGGATGCTGGCCGGCCCAAGAATGCCTTGCCTCCTTATAGGGCGGGCACTGCCCAGGTGGTCAGGAGAGAGGGGACCCTCCTCCCTTTCCGCACTGCACCCTCCTCCATGCCCCCTTCTAGTTCTATTTCTCAGACACACACCGCCTCAAAGGCATGTGACAGGTGTTAGCTGGAGACCTAGGGCAACAGCCGAACGCTTTCTGGCACAGCACAGAGGGAAGGGCAGGGAGGTGAAGGCGGGACCCAAGTCCTGTGTCTCTAAGCCCTGTGGGCTTGCTGCTGCCCAGAGACTGCAGACGTGAATAGGTCATACCTTTTACGGAGGACCTGACTCTCTTATGCCCTCCGGAGACAAGCAACACACCCAAAGCGCGGCTTAAGCCCCTTCCTGCCTGAAATCGCAGCGCATTCCCGGGGAAGCCGTGCCACGCTTCAGAAAGGCGTTTGTGCTGCCTCTTACTGGGGAAACGCAGTGTCTGTTCCATATGCACCGCCCTAAAGAACTGCAGCCCCATCCGCCTATGGGGCCTCCTCCCCGCGCGCTGGGGCACCGCGCTCTCCAAATATCTGTCTGAATATCTGTCGGTGTGTCCTCCATTAAAATCCCAGGGTGCCCAAAGGCCACGGAGCCGAGATGGCATTGGGCGGGTCTTCCAAGACCTCCCATTACTTCTCCGGTTTTTAAAACCAGCTAGAGATGCCAGGGGCTGGGAACTGAAAAATCGCTCCCTCAACCTGCCCAGGTGGGAGGGAGAGGCAGTAATACACAGAATTGTACCCTGAAAGTCCTGGGTAAGAGAAGTCTGAGTCCTGGAGCGTCAGAGGAGAAAGAACACGGGCAATACCTGCTCCGGCCGCGCCGCCCCTACGCGGGTGTCCAGGTGGGACGTGGGCAGGTGCGTGTGCGCGGTGTGTGCCTGTGTGTATTTGTGTGTGCGTGCGTGCAGCGGGCTGGCTCCAGGGCAGCCGAGGACTCGTGGCCCGAGCCGCGTATCTCTGGCAGCGCTGCCCTCGCCGCCCGCCCGCCCACCCGGCCCGCCGGCTCCTTACCTGGAAGCGCCGCTTTCGCCTCCTTCAGCGGGAGCGCCGCATTGACACTGCAGATGGTGCCTGTGCCGCTGCCTCTCGCCCTCCTCTGAACGTGTGCGTGTGCGCGCGTGTGGCTGCCTCCTCCAGCCCCAGCCCCGAACGCAAATACTCCACCGAGGCACAGGGAACCCGGAGGAGGCAAGGAAAACCGAGGGCGAAATCAGAGCCTGCGGGGCTTGACAGCTCCTCTTGCAGCGTCCAAGGTGGGCAGAATGTCCAACAAAAAGGTCGGAAAATGTGGATCGATTCCAAGCGCCCCTTTCCTCCACCCGGCCCCGGAGCCGCAGCAGCAGCCGCGGCTCTCGGGGGCTGCGGTGGCGACGCGGGGCTGCCCCCCTTCGTCCCCACCCCCGCGGGCTGAATGTCCTTGATGCCAAGCGGGCACGGCGGCGTCACTCCGCGCCGCCCATGCTCGCCCGGTCGGGCCGCTGCCCGGGCGCGGCGAGTGCGCGGGGGACCCGCCGGGGAGCGCTCTCGGCGCCTCTGCGCGCCTCCCTGGGCAGCGGCGGCCGCCCCCCGGCAGCCCACTGCCGGCCGCGCCGCTGCTGCCCCCGCCCCTGCCGGGGGACCGGCCGACCAGTGCCGAGGGGCCGGGGCTGGGGGGCCGCGGGAGCCGCCGGCTGCTCCCCGGGGAGGCGCGGGGCTGCGGCGCTGGCGGCGGCGGCCGCTGGCGCTGCGGCGGCGGAGAGCGCGGCCGCGGGCCGAGCCGGGCCTCCCGGGCGCGCCCCCGGCCCCCCGGGCGGGCTGCTCGCAAAGTTTGCAGGGGGCAGGGAGCGGGGCCGCCGCTGGCTCGGCCGCCGCCGGAGCTCCCGGGCTGCCTGCTGCCGCCGCGGCTCGCTGCTGCTGTGCATTGAAGCCCGGCCAAGCGCTGCAAAAACTCCAGCTGCCTGGCGCTCTCTGGGTCCTCCTCTCCTCCCTCCCGCCCTCCCCGCTTCCCTTCCTCCCTCCCTCCTTTGCCTCCTCCCCTCCCCGCCGCCCGCCGCCGCTCCCTCTCTGGCTCGCTCTTGCTGGCTCGGAGCTCGCGGCTGACATCTAGACCGACCGAGAGCGGCCGGCAGAGGGGGCAGGGGGCGCCTTCCCCGCGCCGCGCGCCCGCCGCCGCCGCCTCGCCTGCGCTCCCCCGCACGCACGCTTGCGGACACCGCGCCTCGTCCCCTCGGTCCGCACAGAGCCACCCCGCCGGTAGCGATGTGGGGCAGAGAGGGGCGGGAACAGGGTGATGGGCGCAGGGCGCGCCCTCGGAAAGAGGCACACTCAGCCTCCTTGGAAGGCGGAGATGCGGGCGCTGACAGTCGGAGGGACAGTCAGGTGTTCAGAGCTGACACCGGCGCACGCACCCTTTCCTAAGAACCCCCTCCCCCCAGCACCCCACCCAGACACCCCGCACGGCACCCAAGGACGGAAGGCCTGGGTGAGAGAGCATGAATGGCCACGTGCCCTAGAGCTTGCTCGGTAACCTGACCTGTCTAGTCATGTTTATATCGAGGTTTACCTAGCTCCTCCCTTTTCGGAAACCCTGGATCCTAGACCACAGCGAAAGCAGACTGTGCCAACATAGGGTAGTTTCTGAAGTCCGAAGAAGGAAATCACGATGTTGCTGTGGTTTACACAGCCGTCTGGCAGGGAGGAAACGTGCAGGATGGCAAGTGGGCAGCACTACCTCTGAAACCTCTGCCTACATCCTCCTAGCAGTGTGCCCACCCAGCAAGAGAAGCCTAAGGGATTCCCACACTTACTACCCGACTCTGTGCATAGCCCCCAGATCCCCACCCCCACTGTAGTCCCAGGGATGTGGCACCAGGACTTGTGCCCACTAAGTACCTCCTCCCACTGGCAACAGTCAAGGATGACCCCCTGGAGGAGCTCTTGGTTTTTGGCCTCCTCCCTCGTGTCTCTTCTTCAACTTTCCTTTTCTCCACTCTGGGCAACTTCCTGCCCATCACTGTCCCTTCCATCAAAACATCTGCTCAGAATCTTCCTATTAGGTGGACATGATTGACAACTGCATAAATTCCTACACCTTCCTGTAGGGGTTATAATCTTCACAGAAAGCAGAGTTGTAAACTGAGGAGACTTTGAAAGGAGCTGTGAGCTGACAAGCTATACAAGCCCCAAGGTGGGCAGTTCAGCTAGGTCAGCACAGGTAGATGAGGCAGGACCCGCCTAGGGAGGGCCTTGACAAAGCTTTGCTCTCAAGAGGTGGGTGCTTCAATGAGAAGGAGATGAGCCGTGCCAGAGCGAGGAGGAAAACAGACATTCGGTTGCTTGGGTAAAGGGTGCTCCAGGAGACAGAGCGGAGTCCTTTTAGCCTCTGGGTCTCTACTGAGTATTGCAGGGCCCAGAAAGCAGCAATGAGTTATCTTATTAGCTTGCCTTAATGCATTGATCTGGCTCCTCTTCTCAGACACCCCGGATCCCAGACTCTAGATAAAGCGCACAATATCAGGTTAGTTTCGGAAGTATGGAGAAACATACAACAAAATAACTCATTGCTGCTGCTTCTTGGATCTCCTTCCGCGCTGAGAAAGCCCAGAGCCAAATGTCTTTCTAGGCAAGACGGAGACGAGGGTGACTAACAAGGTGGCCAGGATGCAAAATTCAAGGAGGCACTCATGCCCAGGGTCCTGTAAGGCTGTCCTCACCCTGGTCCTGGCCCCACTTCGAGGTATCTTCTCTAAAATTGTTCCTTGGGACCATCACAGGCCTTTCCCAGAGGTGACAGCCCAGATAGCCCCATGGAAAACCCTAACGGGTTACTTAAGAAATATGGTTCAATAAAAGCGGGGCGGGGGACCCTTTCAAACGTCTGCTTTCAAATGTCTGTGTCCTACTCAGCTTTCGGGGTGTGCCACAAAATGCTGAAGGGAGGGGAAGTGAGAAAACAGCTCGGCCTCCACTCTCAGCCATGCTAGCATGTATTTTTAATACAACTTGATTTTTTTTTCCCTTCTAGCCTGTGGGTGTACATGCCTGCATGCATGTGTGTGAATATTGCCAGTGAGCCTCAGGTCCATTTTCTGATGGATGGATGGGAAATCAAAGACCTTTTTTTTTAGAGGTGGCAAATAAATTGTATTTATTCTTCTTTATCTCCTGCCTAGTGCGTGGTGTCCTTTATTTTCATTCAGAGAAATGAGTGCCACGTGATGCCTGAAGAGTGATAACAGAGCCAAATGACAGGGAAGAAGTGAGGCAAAAAGCTGGCCCAACAATAGGCAAGTGAGGGCCCCGCTGACTCTGTTATTGTTGATGGGGCCACGTGGCCAATGGCACTTTCCTTCTTTCACTTTCCGTTTAATAGCACAGGTGAAAGGTGTGCTGAAGCAGCAGTTATAATGTCCTTGTAAGGAAGAACAGAAAGAGTCAAATTAGCAACTGTGTGGAACATGATTTTTTCTTTAAATTATGATAGTCCCTTGCATTTGCTCTCTCAAGCCTGGAGAGTGGGATGGGGTGGGTTGAGCAGGAATCTAGACTGGCAGCTAGGAGACCCGGATCCTAGTCCTGGCTCTGCCACACCCCAGATCTATAATCTGGGGTGGATCACACCAACTCAGTGACATTCTGTCTTCTCGCCTGCCCCCAGTTACCCCTTAGAGATAGTGACATTCAAGGGAGACACCATCGATTCACGCGCATGGAAACTCTAAGGCAAGAGCATACCCATGTAAGGGATGAGTGTTGCTTTTCAGAAGAATACGTCTTTTTTTACACAATACAATGAGGGCAAGAAGGTCCTCTGTTGTCTTGACCCTTCTCTATGCAGAGACACATTGGGAAAGGCAGCCTCTGTGTTCACAGTGGGCTTCCGCATTAGGTACGAACCCTTCCAGCTCTCACACCTCCCCACCCCCTGCCAGCTGGGGAGGAGCAAAGAGAGACACCAGCTTGCTCCTGCTGACACTGAGTCTGTAAGTCACCCACTCTAACACCAGGCTGGTGGGGAAGCTGGGTAGTCATTGCCTGGCTTATGGCCACAAGAGGAAGAAGCTAAATGGCATATAAATTTGTAAAGTGTTTTCCAAGGAGGCTATTTTTGTGGCAATTTGGTGGTGGTTCATTGCGGGGTGTGAGAAGAAAAATATTGGCTCATCTCTCATGGCTGAATAAAAGGGCGAGATTTAACAGGAGAAGGGAGAAGAAATTCTCACGTTTTCCTTCGCTCAGCTACCACCATTTTATTAGCCTAGGAACAGAACTGCTATTTAAGTTGATAAAAGCCAGATTTGCTCGTTAAATAAATCACCAGAGCCTGGTGGTGCTATAGAGAAATTTTTTTCCCCCATAGCTGGCCCCATGGCTGGTTTTTATACAGAGCACGGTGTGCTGGATGGAAACCGCAGGCAGTCAGCAGCTTAAAAACCTAAATTGTGGCGCCACCTGCAGGAGAGTAGAAATATCGACAATATCCCAACTCTCGGCAGAAGAGGGAAGACAGCCTTCTGCAGCGACACTGCTCTGGATGCGGAGGCCAGGGTTGCAGACACAAGAAAGGACCCCAACTCTCCACTGACCCTTGCTTCCCAAGTGTGTCACCAGATGTCCCCTGTACACTCCAGCAGCCTTCAATCTGCATCCTCCTGAGAGCTGCCATTTCAAGGTATCAACAGCTGCTCTCAAGATTCTCAGTGCATTGAAACAGATGTATCCTTTCCTGTTTCCTAAAGGGTTAAGCAAGCCTCTAACCCAGGGGTTCAACAAATGACTGCCTTGGAGGAGGGTGAGGGAGGAGATCCCTGCAACACCACAGTTCCTAATTGTAGCTTGAACTTGGTGGCTAGGTGTTGTTAGCCAACCAAAGCTGTCCCAGGCTTCTGTAGCATCTGGGTGCTAGCGAGGACACAGCAATATTAACACCTGAATCTCAACTCCCAGCCTTCTCCTGCTCTTGCAGACTTGGCCTCCACTGACAACCCCCTCCCTGTCTCCTCCCATTATGTCAGAGACCCCCCCGGTGGTGGTTGTGCTTAGGAACAAGCCTGATCATGTTATTCTCCACAAGTCTCCTCACAGAAGTCTGCTGCCCAAAGCCATTTGTTGGAAGGACGTTGCATTGCCTCTGCCCACCTGTACGGCTGGACATGGGCAGCCCTGCTCTTCTGCTGTGGCTTCCCAGGCCGCTCCAGGGAGCTGGTGCCAACGTGGGGAGGAGGCCCACCCCACTCACACACTGTGCGGGTCTTGCTCCTCTGGGCCCTAAAGCAGCTCTCATGCCTCTCATGCTCCCAGCCTTCCTCCCCTTCCTCCCCAGACTCCTTCATCCACTACCCCCTCTCCAGAATTCTTCCTTCTCCTTCAGCTAACAAACACACTTCTCTTTTCAACTGCAGGAACCAGAAGTTAGAGGATTGGGTGAAAATGGGGGAGGGAAGATGACCTAACTCCATTGGCCAGAAACAGCAGAGTCTCAGCTCTGGCCAGCTCCATATCTTGCTACGACAAGACAATGTAAACATTTCAGCATGACCCTTCTTGGGAGTTCAATTCCAAGAGCCACAATGTCCCACA